ATCACCAAGCTGATTTCGAGGGACGAGACCCTGAAGGCGAAGAAGGGCGAGGCTCTTCCCGTCGTTGACCTGCTGGCCAATGGCTACTCGAAGCTGCTCGGCGGTGGCCACCTGCAGGCTCCCTGCATCGTGAAGGCTCGCTGGGTGAGCAAGCTGGCTGACAAGAAGATCCGTAAGGCTGGCGGAGCTGTTGTGCTTCAGGCGTAAGGTTAGTTGACTACAAGTACAATGTGCTTTTTCTTTCTTGTTTTCGATTGATTTCTTGCTGGTGGTCTGGAGTTGGTCTAATGATAAAATTGGTCTTTTCAGAACCTGCATGTGTCGTAATGATTAAACCTTTTCTTCTTTCCTTTCTGTTCTTACTTTTTTTTTCGTTCTGGTGCTGCGCTGTCGAGTGTCTGTAGTATTGAAAAGTCTCCTGCATTGACTTTTTCTTGGTGGTGTAACTGATGAAGCAGCTGGTATTGCTTCCAGCCATTTTTTTTTCGGCGTTTGTCGCTCACTCCGTTCATGCGATCGCCTATCCATCCGTTTTCCCCATTGACGGGTACGCTTCCATGACTCTGGAATTGCTGATGCAGCCGCCGCAGGTCAGTGGTGCTGCGCAAGCTTTCGAAATGTCCATGAAAGGGACCGTCGATTCAACATATCCGCTTCGGGTGGAGAAAGCTGTATTGGAAGGCACGATCCGGTACCTGTACACGGATGGGAAGGTGGCTGCAATAACCGACTCAGGTTCCTGTAACGTGACAAATGATGCTGCCACGAGTGATGACGTTGTCTTGTGGGATGCTATACGCACAATGTTACTGGAAGTTATACCGTACTTTTCCGGGCGTGTGACATATTATCGTGGGTTTGAAACGGTTGTAGTATCGCAGATGTTGAACCTCACCATTCCCGTCGCGTATGGAGGGGGTGGAACATCATCAGCATACTCGGTTTCTTACTATCTCCTGCGTCCATGGCACGTTAATTATATGCCAATGAGTAATGCACCGGCAGGGATTGTGATTCAGAATGCTGACAAGCCCCTGTTATCACTGACATTCTTTGAGTTCGGCAAATCGACAGTCAGTCTAACCGAATTTGAATTTCCGCTGCAGTGTGAGGGAAAGACAAGTTTGGTAAATAAGGCACAGTCGAAGGAAGTTGCGATGGAGACCACTATGCCTTCGTTTCCTGATGAGTTCAGCGCCAAAATCCAGGTTTTAATGCCAACTGAGAAGACCACATTCACGATGCACGAGCAATTCAGTGCGAAATCGCGGTTGTCGCGCTCAACAGTCTATGGAGCACTTCCTGATGAAGTTGGTCGCGTTAAAACATATGATTGGTACATCCTTGGATCATATCAGATGTCATACTTCCGTGAGCAGTCAAGGGTGCCTGATGGGCACGAACTATCCATTCCGGAAGATGTGCGACAATACTTCTGGCCTGATACGGATACCTGTATGCGTGTACAGATGGGCTTTGATGCAATTGCAGGGACTGTGGGTGCATTGATGCTTTATTCCCCGGACGTGCCCCCAGTGTACATTGGTTTACAAACCGTGCGTGGCGTGCTGTGCAAAGTGTGGTCGGCTAGTGTCTCTGGCGTGCGCGTGAGATGGTTCTGGGCTGATCACGATGAAGCCACATTTGTAGGCTATGCAGATAATACGAAAGCGCCGACCAAGCTGATGCGTATTGTTGTAGAGGGTAGTGGTACTGCTCCATTCTACGCCCATCACCCATTTTTAGCACAGGGTGCTGCATTCCCCTTGGAGTATCGACGAGGCGCTTGTTTTCGGCTGAATCGGTGGGACCCTGCCTGCTACAAAGAAAATGAGCATTTCAAATATATTTACGATATTACCTCCTTTACAGCACACCTTTCACCGGACGCACTTGAGGTGCCGAAGGTTTGCGCGAGGGGTGACGCCCCTGTGAGCGCGATCCCTGATGTGGAGTGTCGCAGTTCGGATGGTGCTTCCTTAGTGCTGTTCTTGCTGATCACAGCTCTCGTCAGTGCTTTCGCTGGCGGCTGTATCATTTGGTGCCGCTTTGCGCCAATGGTGCGAAACTTGCAGCGGGAGGTGACGGAATTAGCAACGGAGATAGCTAGGGGTGAGACGCAGACTCAGCAACCACAGGAGTGATAGCTGTTTATTGTATTGATGGCTTGTACGACGAGGAAGGACGATGGGTGCATGCACTACCAGAGACGTTTCCCTTCGATCATGCACTGGTTGTAGGGATGACGGTTCTTCTTTCGTTGTGTGCTGCTGTGTAAATTGAGTTTTGTACGTGGTCTCAGGATAGTTTCTCCTTCCTCATAGTTATACATGTGCATATGTAGCCATGTGTATAATCCTCTCATACATTTATGTTTTATTTTTTTTTTTCTCTCTTTTCTATCTGTTAGCTTTGACATGCCTACCCGCCTCAAGAAGACTCGCCATCAGCGCGGCTCCACGTTCTGCGGCTATGGCCGTGTCGGCAAGCACCGCAAGCATCCCTCTGGC